TCCTCGGGCACCTCCCCCGTTTCCCACGTCTTACAAAGATGATGGAGAGTGGTCTAGCAATGACATCCGCCATCTCCCTCAGCACCCGCGGGTGCATCCCATCAGGACCCATGGGTGTCCAGCTTACTTAACCGTTCCTTAACCCAGTCTTCATCTACCAAGGCAAACTCCTCCTTTGTCCTGACTTCCTCCGGGGCTTCAGGGGTACGGGGCTCCTCAGGAAAGCCTCCAGCAGTATAGACAGAGACAAAGAAGGCATTCAGTAACTCTGCCTTCTCTGTATCATCTGTCACCAGAGCACCCACCTCATTGATCAGTGGGCCTACATTGCCTCTGGTGTTAGCCTTATCTGCAATGTATTTGAAGAAGCCCTTTCTATTATCCTTGACCCCTCTAGCAAGGTTTAATTCTAAGGAGGCCTTAGCTTTCCTAGTTGCCTCCCTACCCTCTCTGACAACATTCTTATATTCCTTGCACACAGAGGTGCAAGGAAGATCAGGATTTCAGGTAAGCATGTGGGACATGGTAAACTCAGCTTCAGATCCCAGCTCCACATCAAGCGCAGTATGAACGTGAACCTGGATTTCCTGCTTTCTGAGTTCCGCACCCCTCAGGGTACAGCCTCAGCTATTCCACTTTGCATAAATAACCAAATAGATTTTTGAATAAGCATTTAAGCTAGGTTTTCCACTTCTGTCAATGCCCCCAAATCACGGGTTTGTTTTTCAGTTTGAAGGGTAAGTACACTTTCGCAATACAGACCATCAAGAAATATCTAGTTTCATCCCATTGTGCAAAAAGGATTTTTGTTTTGTCTAAAAAAAGTGGGAGGGATTTCAATCTCATCCAATAAACAAATTACAATTTCTTCAGGCAGTGTAAGGCCCATTAATGAAAAGAACAGTTAAAAACCAAATAATTGGAACTTATCCTATTCTCTGTAAGAGAAAAACCTTCATGAAGAAGACATCTCTTACAGCTAAGATGACTACAGTTTGTCTCACAGTAACCTCTACTGTCTTTGATTTGTCTTCATTAATGCTTTCAACCAACAGCAAAAGAAAGGACAAGGGATCGCTCTGTCTTTATGTTCTGAAAGGAACCTGTAACATTCTACCAATTAATACATTCACAAATGAATAAAATTGGATGCATTACAGTATATATAAATGGCAGCACTTCAGGTTTCAAGAAGGTCTGATGCTATATTGTTAACTTCTACCCAATAATAGTCTGAATTGTTTTCTGGGGTTTTTTTTTGGTTAAATTATCTTGAGGAACCGATTCATTCTTCCAAAGCTCAAGAGATAGTGTATCAAATAGTAACTCTTCACTTACTTTTTGTACACAAGTCTCCCCATGCCTTCACAACATGATGCCTGTTGAGAAGCTACAAATGGAGATTTTCAGAACACTATACTAAAACATATACTGAACCCTGCCTTGGCATTAACTCAAGTATATAGGGCTGGATGTGACGGTTCATTGAGTTCATTGACTGTTTTTGAAAAAAGCAACGAAGCAACTTCTTTTCGTAAGCTGACAAAATATGACTTTTAAAAACAGTAAGAATTTTTTACCTTCAAAACTCCTGCTGGAAGCCTATTTCTTTAGTCTGACGGTTAAAAATTCTCCAATTTTGAGCTTAAATATGTATGGAAAATATTTCCCTTTTAGATCTTGTGCCAACATTGTCCCCTAGGATAAGTATTCCTTTTCCCTCCCTGGGTTTGCCCCTCTAATGCAATTTCAGAGGACAATCATGTATCCTTTCAACTTCTGTTCTGCTAGGCTAGGGAAGCCAAGCTCTTTTGGTCTCCTCATTTATCTGAAATTAAAACTCTGATGCACACTCCACATCATTCAATTATGCTGCTTCAGGAAGACAGGAAATTTGAAAAGAGAACCTGCCAAAATCGACTCCACTGAGCCATTCTGAAATTTATAACAGCCCCTAATTTGGAAGTGAGTTTGACTGAAGAAAAAATCAATAATTTAAAAAAAAATCTTGAAAATAGTACTATCCAGACCTGTGTTAAAATCAAGCATCTGATATCAAGTAGTAGCCTAAAAAACCTGAAGCTTGGCTATAAATTGCAAACACAAGCCAATTTATAGTTACCTACAGCAAATCCTTCATAGCATAAACTACATGTCTTTTCTTATATGAAGTTCTTAAATTATACAGAAGCCCCTCAGGTGTTGCAATTTTTTGGTATAGATTCTCCCCGTTAGTGTTCGACCATAATCTGTGATATAAATGTATTTCTACACAATACAACTTTGCTATTTGATTTTTTTTTCCCCAAGATCTTGTGTTTGCAATCTTGGCCATAAACCGTTGTATCAGGCACATTTGCTCATTTAATTCTTACACCTACAGCAGAAACATGCTTATTAAATCCAAAGAGATGGCTGTGATATATCATAACATACATAAACAGTAAAGAAATTCCAGAAAACATGCTAAAACACATTTAAAGACGTCTACTTTTGTACTCACTAAGGCATGTGTTGTCCTGGAAGAAATTCAGAAACTTCAGGCATTCATCTATGTCATTACCGCTGTTGCTGCAGTCACACCATGGGGCAACACTGAGACTATTTGAGTCGATGTAGTTTGGTGTCATCACTGTGCCTATTAACAAAGAGTGAAGTACAGTACTGTGAGCAACCTTGGTACTGAAATATTCTTTCCATCCTAAGAAGATAGCAAGCAGCACTTGGTAAGTCACGTATTCAGACGTGGATCCACAATGCAGACCCCTGGCAGGGCTCTAACTTCCAGACTTAACAGTTCCCATCTCTGTTTGCCCTTTGACACCCAGCCCTGTGCCATACTTCACACCCTCGTTTTTTTGAATGCAACCACTTTAGGGACTGTAACATGATTCACACACTAAGCCGTAGTTCCTTTCCTCTAAAAAGGTTTATACTGCACTCCCACCGAGAGCTGCATCAGCAGCATTGACAGGTGGAAAACCATGGCACAGGTGGGGGACTGGGAGAAGGTAGGAACCTCTTAAAAGGGCTTTGCTGCCGGATCAAACATATATGGACCTGAACCCTTAGAGTTACACTCTAAAAATCCAATTTTTCTTCCTTGTTTGTGTTTTTTCTCATTTTTGTTGTAGCTGAAAAGAAATGGCTGAAACTAGACATCCAGACCTGAGCTTCCTCTTTGGGTCTGCAGCCAGCCTAGAAAAACAGTTCTGAAACACATGAGCAAGGTGAATGCTAGTCATGCTGAGAGGAGCCCTAATATGTCTTGGAGGAGCGCTGACCTCAGGGTGCTTGTTAGGGACCTGCCAACAGAGTGGGTTATGAACGATGAACAAAGCAAAAACACAACCAGCATGTATGAAAAGGCAGAGGAGATTCTTCACAGTTAATAAATTACTATTAATCTTTCTGTGTCACTACTTTTTCAGTACAGTGATTGTTTCCTAAACATTGTCAACAACTTGCAACCACAGATTCATTCTAATTCTATTACAAATTCTTGGGCAAATATTCTCACATTTATATGTCAACTCAAGGCTGCCAAGAATGAAATTAAACCAAAGAATGCATTTTGTGTCCTGAAAGATACACAGCAACTGTTCATCACTCCTGATGATGAACACTGATCAGACAACTGTTACATGATCAACACTTATTCAAACCAGTAGTCTCACTGAAGGCATCTACCCAGCAGGTCAGAGATTTCAAACTTCCCTAAAGATTGAGAAGTCTGAACCTTTATTTTATTTGTCTGACCAAATATGAAAAAATAAATAAAAAGGGGCAGATATTCCAGACTTGTACGGATGATGATTTCAGGAAACATGCTCCTCACTTGGTAATCTACATTTCTAGACCAGGCTATATATCATGAGGAAATGTGATCGCATCTCCTCAAAACTGACATTAAAGTAGTTTTTAACAAGATGGAATAGATGAAGGATAAATACTAGAGACCCAAAGTGTACACTAGCAGAGAAAATTCGGTCCATAGGTCTGAGGTCCAAGAGTCTGCAAAAACACACAGGAAAGGGCTATCAAACATCAAGCTAAAAAAAGGAACATTAGAAATAACACAAATCACAGAATGACGTCAAATAGCTTTTCGGTCACCAGGCAGCGCTGGGAACTGAACAAATCAACATGCAAACTGCTTCATACATGATGTGGGAGACAAAGAAGAGTCACTAAGGACTGGCCTGAGAAAGGCAGTAATGTATGTGAAAATTAATGCAGTCCTACTGCCAAACTCACAAAAAACATCTTTTGTCATGATTTGGGATGTTCTTAAATTAGAATGCAATCCCATACCTTTATCTACTTCCAACTTTTAACAGATAGTTGCAGTAATAACTGCTCAAATTCTATATGAGATTAGCACATGAGTAAATAGCATAGTTCAAGATTTTTTAAATGAAGGTAGAGAATTTAGTAAAATAGGCAAATATTAATTGCACCATTAATGAAAACTTGACAGTAGATAAATAAGAACAGGAATGATGTTAAATTAAAATAAAACAAATGAAAATATCTGTCCGTTATCCATTCGATGGTCCACTACACTATTTCAACCACATGGCATGATATGAAAAGAAGAGAGAGAAAATGAAAATCAGGAGGATTTTGCAAACGGGAAGAAAAAAAAAAGCTAAGTAGCAAACACTTAGTAAAGGGTTAAAAACACAGAAAGGTATTTAGGAAATTAAAAGGTCACTGAGGTAAGACTTTCTTATCACAACGAGTTAATAAGGTAATCAAAATGGGTCAAGACAGGAGCTAAAAGTGTAACAGATATCAAACTACGATTAGGGCTGATGAATGCAGGAAAGACAGGACAAGGAATGTGTATACACAGCACACAAACCGTACATCCAGCAAAAACAGAGTGGCTGAAAGAGCAGCTAGTAGAAAATCAGTCTGTCATTTAAACCTGGGGGCAGATGTGAACCCAAGCGGATTATGTGCTTGGTTTCCTGGGGTGGATTTTCTTTTTTCTCTGCAATGTGTGTGCCTTCCCCTTCCCCCCTCCCTCTGCTAGCTGGCATCTTGGAAACTCTGCTGAAGGACACTAATGGATCAGAGAAACCATGGTGGTTGGCAGTAAAATAGGACATGCTCGGTTTTCTGCATTCTATCAAATAGTTTTGTGACGGTCTCCCATATTTTAAACAAAAGCAGAAGTGACCTGAACACAGCCAAGAGGTTTCTTAAATCAGAGTCAATTAAGAATGAGGAGATGGATGGTGAGTCCAGGAGGAGAGGTGTGTGACTGATGTTCCTTTGGCCCAAAGCAGCTCCAGTTTATTCACAGAAACTCTCACAGAATTCCTGGGAATACCAGGGAAATCAGAAGGATTTTACAGGAAACAAGTGCAAATGTATCCAAAAGTGAATGTTACAGCAGACCTTGAAGTCAGCAGTTAGAGCAATACATAACTGATGTGGGACAGGTCCAGGTGGCTTAACTAGGCTGTAACCACAGCACTGAATATCAAACATGGCTATCTCCAGTCTTATTCTACATTTAATAGTTTTTACATTTTTTGTTTAATTAAAAAAAAATTAGATTATCCCTATTACTGCAACAGAGCCTAAAGCAATTAATTAAGATTTTCAAAATTCCTGCAAAATCTACACATCTTTAAAATTATATCTATAAGATCCTGATACAAACCTTAAAGCACCCTATATAGACTCTTCTCTATTTAACTCATACAAAAACTGCCTGACTCTACTTCCACTTAAGTAATTCATTTCAGGTGGGATTCCACTAATTCCAGTGATGTTAACTCTGATCTACATCACTATATGCGATAGCAGAATCACATCCACTGTACCTTCCATATAGAATCCTCAATTTTCTGAACAAACTCTATGGAGGCACAATTTTTGCTCCATTTAATGAAATAGCTGAAAGAAATAATATTTTATCTTAATGAACAATATTTTATCTTAATTAAAACACCTGGAGATCCTGGAGCTCTGATGAATGAATGGATCTGTAACAGTTTCTTACCCACAGTCTCTCTCTCTCTTCTTCCTGTGTTTTATATATGTCAAACAGACATTTGAAAGATTGCACTTTGACTTCTGTCTCAGCATCTTACAAATTTGATGGTCTTCTCATAATTTACTCCACTTCTGTATCAGCTTGGTATCAGATGCAGGAATTTACTGTTTCAGCCCATGGAAGTTTTGTTTTGGCAATTTTCTTGGTTTATCAGAATTACCACCAAGAAGTAAGAACTCTTCTAACACCTTTTTGCATGTGTCTAAGGGCTAGCTGTAAGGAAGAAAAACATTTATTTTTCTCTTTGAAAACTGGATCTTCTTTTGATTTAACCTCCTTGAGGATCCATTCCACATTTCTGATATCTGATGGTGTTTTGCCGCACGGTCATCCACAGTAACACAGAAACACCTGACTACAGGAACTGGGTCATCCTTGAGGTTAAATTGAAAAATGTATCCAACAAAACTGCCAGAAAAATTGACTCGGTACACCAAGAGCTCTCTGGCAGCTCTCCCCCAGAAGTATCTATTAGTAACAGTCACTCTTTGCCAGCAGCTAGACTTCTTAATCTCATTGACTGGATCACATTTCAAGGCTATTCAATTCTTTTTTTTTTTTTTACAGTCAAATAACATTCTGTCATAACTGTTCGTATGTTATACCCTTTGCATACTGTCTTCATCTCTTAAATTGTAGACGCATATCCTTTGAAACCATCACATCTTATTTTACCAGCTGCCACATGAACTTACCTCACTTGTTAGCTGCTAGAGTAATAGGAATTATAACAAAAGCCAGTGAATATAGTTTTCAGTTATTTTTCAGCAAAACCAACCTACTTGAGAGATATTTCATTTTTGGATATTATCTCCAGAGACATTTATTTAACAGCAGGATCTGCTTCAGGGCCTCAGCTGGGACCTTCACACCCAACAGAAGGGGATACTGCTGCATCGCAGCAGGTGCAGGCTGTAAGCTTAAAAACATCTTATCTGGTGGCCTTTAAAATTTGTTTGTTTCAGAGTTTTGACATTCACTTATTCTTTATTGCCCAACCATGGTTTTTCTACAACAAGTTCACCTTCCTGAGATGATCTCTCTCTTCTCTCTCTTTCAGAGATCAAGCACCGTATATGTGGGATATGGAATCTGGCTTGCAGCATAAAGGCATCCTTGTGACTGTCGACAGTCAGCAAGGTGACAGCAAACAAAATGAATTATGCTTGGGAGGGAAGAGGATTTCAGAAGATAAATTTGGTTCACCTCCACTGAGAGGCATCTCAGAAAACAGAGTGGACTGAAGGACGTCATGGAAAGAATAGCAGCTGGAAGTGAAACAAGTCTGGGTTGGTCTATTGAATAATTCCTCCAATGTCCTGCAAACTTTTGAAAAAAACCCAAGAGGTATGTTACCCAGCCTCGTGACGACAGCAGCAAAAACAACTAAGCTGTGTTTTCACTTGTTCTTTTTAACTTCCTACTTCAAGGTCCTGTCCAAATTCAACCAAATTAATACGATTTAATTTGTAAGCTTCATTTATATTTGTTTATTTCAAATTCAAGCACCTTTCTCTCCTTATATTTTATTCTTAAATTCCTTGCAATCTACAAATTTACCCTGAAAATCTGTGTAAGGTATAACAGAGACAATACACTTAGGTGGAGAATTTTGCTAGTATCATATTGTACAGTATTATATTCCAAAGTTTTTATTTCATGTGGGCCTTCAAAATATTGTTTAGGTGCTTTTCTTAGACTGAGCAAGCCCCCACCCTTCCCTGCCTTCTTACCAATAAGCCCCGAGTAAGCGAGGAGGCAGTCAGCATAGTTCTCCTTCAGACAGCTACTAACAGACCGTGACTCAGGCTGGCAGTTTGTGAAGAAATCTGCAAGGCGAGATCTGAAACATGAAGAAAAATGCATCTCTTTAAAAATCAAGCCTGCAGGCATTCTTACCTCTTATACTATTTTTTTTTTTTTTGGACAAGGCTTAATATTCTTTAACTTAAATATATATTGGGACACATTTCAGCTGATGAGAGTCTCTTTCTAAGACACATCTCTTTCCAGAATCCATTTTTGAAGTCAGAATAAAAAAGTGCAAGAAAACAGTAAAAGGGACAGAAAAACAGGGAAATGCCTGTCCTTTACTAAAAGAAATGCTCTGCATTTTCATGCCAAAAAAAAAAAAAAAGAAAAAAAAAAAAGACAAAGAGCAGTTTTATCATCTGAGCAGTCATTTCGCCTGGATCTGAACTGTAGCTGGAATCTGTTATTCTACAGGAACAGAACACAGCTTCTGCTGTTTTACTGACTACACAAAACGGTATGTTTGAGCTCCATCTTACTACATGACTCGAGGCTGGACCTGCTTTGGTACTGCCCTGAGTTTCCAGGGAATAGGCTTACCCCTGCTCTGGACTGGCTGGCAGAACCAGCTGGCTGAGCTGGGGTAGCAGGCACATCCAGATGGCAAGGGCTCCACAGCGCCCTGGAGCCACGGTACTGAGAATCTATTTGTTCTTTTAAAACGTGCGTTTATCCAAAGTCTACAGTTTTGAGCCCAGGGCTCAGAAGAAGGGAATATGTGCTCTGCATCTAGCTCTGCTGATGAATGGCCGCATTATCTTCACTTACCTCAGATACCCCACATCCAAGACAAGGAGAGTACTGCTTACTGATAGTTTTGTAAGAGCAGGACTGAAGCTGTATTACAATTAACAGATCACGACGACTTTGGAAAACAAGAAAAGGACTAGCAGCCCAGAACTCTCCTGGTTATGTGTGCTTTTTTAAAGGCCATATAATGATCCCATCCAGGTCTGCATAATTTAAGGGGCATCACTGAGGTTGTTCAAGGTCCCACATCCTACAGCCGCTCTCCTGCCCATCCTGGCCTGATCTCCTCAGCTCTGCTCAGGCTTTCCCTTAGGCTTGTAAACTTCTTGGAGCAGTGACTTTTGTTTATAAAGTGCCATTCAGACCTTTGTCTCCATGAACAAAATTATCCCCATTTCTCCTCTGTGAAAAAGGGATGAAAACGCCCTTTTGCGTATAGCAACTCACAGTGATGTTTTGGGATCAGGTGCTTAATCTTTGCAAAGCCCTGTCAAAATCAGAATGGTATCATCTACACGTTTTCAGCACTGCTCTAGCATTATGTAGATTTACAATATAAATGCTCTTTTTTAGTTTTGCAACGAAAACACAAAAGTTAGCAGAAACAACTTTATTTGTTTACATGCTCTAGAGACTAATTATCTTTGTTTACTTCATTGTTTTAGCTATCTCAGAATGGGATTGGATGTAGATCATTAATTGGCCTGAAAGTCGTGATGGGCAAACTTCAAAAGGTTCACAGGCTTAGTTTGAGAAAGCATCCTATAAATAGCCTGGATGCAAACTGTATCTGAATTTATCTGAGTTATTCTCATGACCTCTTTTTAGTTCCATCCCTCACTAACTGTACTGACACCAGCAAATCTATGGTTGCCTTTAAACCACAGTCAACTGTAAGCTTTGCATTCCCTCCCTTCCCTAATTTAACCATTTAACCTTGAGATGGACATCTGTACCCAATTGCCTTTAATAGCTTTAAAAAGTGAAGTGTTCCACCGATCCTTCAAGATGCCCTATATGAATACATCAATTTCTAAATTTCCATAAAATCTCTGCTTTGCTGGTGAATATAAACTGTACCTACCCAAGAAGAAATGCATTCCAAGGTATGGGAAAGGATAAATAGCAGCACCATGATAAAATTTGGGCAAGGAAACTCTATGTCACTGCAGGGATTCCTCTCTCAGTCAATAATTAAGATAGTGTCTTGGATCCAGCTTCCCAAGAGCAAATGGGAACAAAGACAGTTGACAGTTTTGAAGGTTTTTACAAATTCTACTAACACCTGGAGGAAGCCTGGCTTTGGACAGAAGAGAGCCTATTACATCTTGCTAGTAAGAAAAAAAAAAAAATTGCCATGGTAGAAAGAGCAAGCCTGCTGTACGTGCAGTATTTTTGTGTTTCTAAAACAAAGTAGCTCCTCAGATTTAAATTTCATTATCTATGTGACCACAAATAAATTTTTTGGAGCTGCAATTATACAATCAGCATCTTAAAAATCCTGAAAACACTTCTTGCAATCATTTAATCATTCTTAAATGTCCAGTTCTCCTTTAGATTATAGGTGCATTGGTCCAGAGATCAGTTTATACATTCCTCTTCTCTAAATGTTTTTAAGGACTGATAACTATGTAATAACACCAGTCATTTACTGACCAGTCTGCTTAAAGAATTTATTTGTTGTAAACCCTAAAGGAGGCTAAGAATTGCTCTGCTGATCCCTTTTGCATGCAGCTTGATTTCTATGCTAATTTCTAAAGAATTTTTTGTGGTCATAAAAGGTAATGATCTGACAATGTTGCACATTTAAGTTTTCATAAGCCAAATATAGTTCAGGTACCTCTGGTTCAAGCATTACTGGACATCATTATACACCTCCTCCCTAGTGAGTCATCCAAACTTCATAATATCAAAGTTCTCCCTCTCTCCTGAGATGCAAACTACACCTGATATTTATGTGGATTCATTTCCACTGGAGATAAAGTTAAGGCCAGCAAATAGAGACAGATCTCCATCTTCCATAAAATAAGTCCATAATTTTCAGGGAAGATGTGCTGATTAATGCTCACTGAAGATCTCACCCCAAACATTTGCAGTAGACTGGCACTGCTGAAAGTGTGCTCATCAGCAATGCCAAAACAGTGGTACTGCTATTTATCCAGAGAGAGACAAATTGGCCTAATTAGGGACTGTAGAATCATTTATTGTGAAGTATTGCACATGATATTAAGAACTGTTTAGATAAAAGAGACATTTTTTTTAGGGATGCTGAAAAAGAGAAATCAGATGATAGTGGTCCTGTAAAAAAATATGCATCCTGTGTTACTTTATTTTGGAAGCAACTTGTGAGTAGTACCCTGTGGGTAAATGTCTAACCCATGACCAAGCAGTTTGGTAATCTCAAGAACAAAAAGAGCTTGCAACCTGTGTGCCTTCAAGTGCACACCATTTTACATGTGCAATGTACGTATTTGCTGGACAGCTGGACAGAGAGAGACAGGCAGCTTTATATGGTACATACCATGTAGCAGGACTAAATTTAAAAGGAACTATTAACTTGTTTTTCTGTTGAAGAACTACAAATCCTCTTTGTGCACATCAGCATTAATGATTTCTTCCCTCCTTTGAATAAAAAGAAGGAACTGAAGAGAAATACACAGAAATCTTCTTCCTTGAAATCCTCTCTTTATAGGGCAAAACCCCCACAAATCAAATGAGTCCTATCTAAGCCCGGGAAAATCTCCTCAAAGTAAACTGCAGATCTGCTGGAAAGCTCACTTTAAGTATTTTGTATACCACTAACTCAACAAACAAGAATAATCCTACTGGCAAATTCAAAGAAAATCTACTCAACAATGAACAGTCTTTCTGAGAAGAGAAAAAAAATCCCAAACCTGTTGTTCTCTAATGCTTTGTATTAGCACCAGTAAAATCATTTGTAACAGTTAAAAAAACCAAAGAAAAGAAAGTTAATTTGTTTTCCTTACGATAGTGGTTCTTCAAATGCTCAGCAGGATAAATCAAAACTTTCAAATTTTGCTTACAAATAAGCTTTGTTAATGGCAGTATTGTGTTTAACCTGCATATAATTTTTGAGGCAATTTAATTTTATATTATCACAGCCTGTTGCGTAGGCAGCATTGATTAGGTTTTCACTATTTTTTATTCTCAAGGTTTTGTAAAAGTTCTTTGATGTTCTGAAACCATCTTTGATATTTATCAGGTCTCCCTCTTTAGAGCTGGCCAACGCAGCTTCAGTACTGGTGCCATATTTAAAGGTCTGATATAAATGATGAAGTTGCAGAAAAATTCTAAAACTGCATTTTTAGTCTGGATCTGGTGTAGATCGTGGCCTGTTGGGAGGCAGCTCCACAAACCAGCCACAAGTCCTCCCCAAGCAGTATTGCTGTTGCTTGGCTGGCAGGTGTTGATTTCTCTTCTCTTTTTCTCTGGCTGTACACATGTTGAATTGCTGGTACACAGGGGCTGAGCTGAGAGAGAAATCTTCTCTCTTAGCCTTGCCTTTGTGGTGGTGATCTTCAGACCAAGTTCGACACTGAATCCGGATCTCCTGCTGTGCTGTGATGTCCCAGTGAGTGGCTACAACTCCTTGCCCTGTTTGAATGTAGGGATGACAGCTCCTGTCCTCTGTGCTCACCTTGGTGATGTTAGGTAAGGTCTGGACCTGCTCACTACCACCTTTCTTTACATTGCTCCTTATGTTTAGGTACCTATTTATGGCTTGACAGCAATAACATAAAGAGTATATAAATGCCAACGCTGAGTGACTGGGGTGACTACACTAATTAGTCAAAGCTGCTCTAGTGTCTAGACACCATTTGGCAGAGACGGTACAGTCACGTAAAGGAAGTGCAGCATCAATACTCAAAACAGGAAAGAAGTATAAATCTGACACTGAAAAACTTCAGACTATGTCAATGAATATGTGTCATAGTGATAAATGATACTATTATAGAAAAACAAACAAACAAACAAACCCAAATATTTGTTCTTTTTTTGTGGGGGTCACATGCAGCTCCTCTGGAGCTACAAATAGCTCCCATATAGCTTGGGTGGTGCTGCTTCTGCTGGGATGCAAGAGTGGTAAGAGGGGCTGGTATGTGGCCAAACTAACGGATTCATTGTTGGAGGAGCTTTTCATTTTCTCCATGTTTCACAAACACACTGTGAGTGGGCAGTGAGAAAATGAGGTGAAGGCTGCATAAGAAACTCTATAAACCAGTGAGTCAAAAAAAGCCTCTGAGGTCTCCATCACAAGAG